CCCCCACCCCAGGACCTGGCCGACATGGCCTACAGGGCCGCCCTGGCCCCCGCCCTGGACACCCTGCCGCCCACCCTTGTCGCCTCGGGCGTCGTCTGCGTGCTGCGGCGGCGCCGGGGCCAGTGGCCCGCGTGGCCGGGGGCGCTGACATGGCTGAGGGGGCCGGCCGCCGCGGACTGTGCCGGGGTGGTGGCGGAGCTGGAGGGCGCCGCGGCGGCGGCGCGGCAGCAGCAGCAGCAGCAGCAGCAGCAGCAAGTGCAGCAGCAGCAGCAGCACCAGCACCAGCACCTAGCCGCGTTTGTCGCGGCGCCCGCACTGCAGCCGCTGGCGCGCAGCGGCTCAGGCTCGCCGCCGCCGCCCCCCTCCCAGGTCGCGGTCGCCGGGCGGGCGACCTCGGGCTCGGCCTCGCCACCGGCCGCGCTGTCGCCGTCGCCCCCGCAGCGGCTGCTGGTGCGGGGGCCCCAGCAGCATGGGGCGTCGTCCTGCATCAGCGAGGCGCTGCAGGGCCTGACCCTCCAGCTGCACCAGCAGGCGGCCGCTGCGCAGCGCGCCCCCTCGCCGCCACAGCAGCAGCAGCTGCAGCAGCAGTTTTGACGGTGCGTGGCATCCCCGCGCAGTGGTGCCCCGGCGGGAGCCACGCATCTCACGAGCGACATGCTACTCCGCACACATTCGCACTTGCGCCGCGGTCGCAAATGTTGTCTCCACAATGCGGCACAGACACAGCGCCGCGTTTGCCCCGGACGCCACTTCTTGTTTACGGCAGTGCGCTTGCATGTGGGCACGCAAGGCAGCCGGCCCGCCTGCGCGATCGCTGCAGTCGACGCGCTCCACCTGTTGCGGCGCGACGCCCCAGGCGGCCCCGTTTTTGGAAACACAATCGACCCACTGGTGGCGCCCCGGGCGCATTTCATTGTTGCCATAGAAACCCTACCCAGCTGCTTATGCAACAAGCCCGCGCGAGCATGGGCGGGGTCCGTGGGCGGCCGCACTGCCGTAGAGCGCGGCGGCCGAGCGGGGCAGGTGACGCCTCCTTCCTCCCTGTCCTCAGCACCAGCGCTGCTCAGCCAGCCCGTAACCAGCGAGCACGCCAAACCCACCACATGACGCGGCAGCGGCACTGCCCTTGTGCGGCACGCGCTGCTGGGGCCCCACCTCAAACCCCCATCCAACCCACCGTGCGCCGCCTTCCATCCATCTGCGGGCATGCGCGTGATAGCGCGCGCCGTGTTTTTCCAGCCACGGGCGACAGCCCCTCCGCGCCACCATGTCCATCGCATCAGGCCAAACTCATGCCCCGCCTGCGGCAGGCGGCAGATACCTGGTCGCCTGCCGGCAGCTGCTTCCCTTGATTTGCTTCCCGCAGCCCGGCTTGCAAGAGGCCGCTTGGCGCATGCTTCATACCCGTCCCCTCCTCGCCTGAGCATACCATAATTATCAGGCGCGCCCGGGGCCTGCAATGAAAGCCGGCACGCCGCTCACCTGATAGTGGACACCCGCCTGGCGGACGGTGCGGCGGGCTCGCGGGCGCTGCGCCCCCGTCGTCCCAAGTCGGGGCTGTGGCCTGACCAACAAACCCAACTACTCCTCACTGCTGTTGGCGTCATCCCCAGGGTGGCGAGGCCCTGCTGTGCCGCGTCAGCGACTACACTGCTTCTTCCTTCCAATGAGATCCCAAAGCGGCAGTACCCGCAAGTGCTGACGGCAGTATGTTTATTAGGTAATACAAACACAACACTCTGTGTGTTGCCCTTGCAATGGTGGGGAATAATCTGCGACAGGCAGCCCAGGGAGCTGCCGAGCAGCGTTTGGCCGAGGGCCAGGGCTGTGCAGGTGGCAAACAAGGCGCTGCGCCAGCGCCGTGCCACAATCCCTTGTGCCTTAGTGTCACTTTGCATCATGACATCACAGCACATCATGCTTTGCCAGATGTTGTTGGCAAAAGCAAAAAGCCCTGTGGAGAGGTTTTGTTCTGCGTGGCACCCCAAGTAAAGGGTCGCGGGACAAGGTGCGTCGCCCCCCAGCTGCTGAGCGGCGGGAGGAGAGGCAGCGTGTGTGGCCGTGTCAGGGACCAGCGAGAGGGTGGCCGTCTGTTGGCCAGAAGGGTGAGGCAGGCACTGGTCTACAGCAAAACGAGACAGGCCGCTACGCACCGTCAGCCGCAGATGACCTGCAGCTGCGTGCATGGCTGTGCAGCTGCTGCGCGCCCTCCACCATGGTGACAGGGACAGGTGCCGTCCTCACCTGCCAACTAGCAGGTGAGGCGCACAGCTTGTGTCCTTCACTTATGTACGACTCCTGCTAATGCATGCACCTGGCAACTGATTGGCTGCTGACGCCACTGGGCGAGGTGCGGCCCACAGCAGAAACCTGGGGTATGCAGGCTGCAGTGCCACACAGTGGCTCTGCCTGTAGCGGCCTTGTCTGGAGTGGGGACTTTGTCCGTCCGCAGGGAGCATTTTACTCAGCCACAAGCAATCGCCATTTGTTGGTGGCCAGCCCCTGTACCACTCTGCAGTGTTTAGCCCACAGATGATAAGGAGGACCTACACAATGGAGGGTCTCAGGATTTCAGTGTCGAAGGACAACCCCTGCTCTTGCAGTCCAGGTCCTTCTACCAGTTCACCAGTGCTACAGTACTTTATGTAGGTGCTCATAGGATCAGGCGACCTGCAGCACCTGCCTTGGGTGGCTGCGGCGGCCTTGTGTGCATGTTTTGGGCCCATCCTCGGTCCAAGGCTGGTCCAAGGGTCGCGTAGAGCTGCGCCTGTTGCTGCTTGTACCTCGTTGGGTGCGTCTAACACCATTCCGTGAGTATCACAGCGTGCCTTCTAACCAGCCCGTCCATACATTGACTCGCTCGCTATCATCAGTCCGCATACATCCTCGTAAAACTAGGGATGCAGGTCATGCTGCGCTGTCTGCCCAGGCTCGGTGCTCGGCACGGGCAGATCCGCGCGAGTCCTTTGATCAGACGCCAAGCTAGCATCGGTTTGAGACGGGAGTTCGTTGTGACAGGAATCAGATGCTGCGAGAACAGCAACGACGTCCCCAGCATTGTGGACCTGTGCATGAGCGAGAATGTGAGCAAGGACATCCTGCTTGGCGTGATTGCTCTTGAGCGCGACAGGGACAGGGAGGTGGCTCGGAGGCAACTGATCGAGAAGGAGCTGGAGCTGGTCAAGAAGGACCTTAGCATCGCCAACGCGGAACTGATGTTCAAGAGCGACAAACTGCACATGCGAGGCCTGCTTGGTGGGTGCTGGTCGAGCGCGGCGCTGTCTGGGTGGTGCACGCCATCATGCAATGCGCTACGTTGCGGCCAAGCGAGGGTGAGTGGCTCCTGCTTGCTCACAACGTTACATGCTCCCCACTTGGCCCGCCCTTTGCTACCGTGCTAACAGACTTTGCGGAGGCCAAGCTGAGCGGCGGGCGCGACGCGGCCTTCACGTCGCGCAAGGCCAAGTGGCTATACATCCTGCGCGAGCACCCCCAGCTGATGACATCTCTGGCGCGGGTCTCGCGCAACAGCAGCGCAGAGGCTGTGGCTGAAAAGTGAGCGCTGCAGTTTTGCTACCAGCATACACCCCTGGCCATGCACGGGCCTGGCTCGTATATTTTGGCAAAGTTGTCGCTGTGCTTGCTTTGCCATAGCCGCAATTGCTGCGCACCCGACCAGGGGGCGCCTGGCCGGCAGTGTTGTGGGCCCCGCCTGCACTGCTTCTCGCGGCTGGGTGCACTGTTGTGTCGAGCTGGATACTCCCTTGCTGACTCACTCACACCACCTCCTGCTGTTGATGTGCTTCTGTGCAGGATGGAGGAGCTGTACAATCAGCTGGCCAGGCATGAACACATGAAGGGCTACTAGGACAGCCGCGTGGCGGTGGACATCGCGGAGGGCCACATCAGCTGGCAGCAGCTGCTGCTGCTGGCCTGCGTGGCTGAGGCCGTATTGGTGCCTGTCAACATGGCAAGGATGGGGTTAGCCCTGGGTCGGATAGCAAGTTATGAGTGGGCTTTTGCTGTTGTCGTGCGTGGCAGCCCAGTCATTTTGATCTTTGGGTGCTTCATCTCGTGCTGTGAGCGCTGCTCCCATGCAGCCTTTGATTTGCCAAGACACGTCAGCTCCGTCCGCAACAATGGCAGTCTGATCGTTCGTTTTCCTGGCATACGGCTGTTTGCTGCACCCCATCACGCTTCTTGGCAGCCTGATGCACCACACCGCCCAGCATGGATTACGGGGCCCGTACCCCCCTGGCAGCAGGTTGCAGGAGCGCACAGATTGTGAGACCACGTCTGTAGTGCGCACTGGCAGGAGCCGCAGAGCAGCAGGCGGCGGGGAGGGTAGCGCGAGCGCATAGGGAGGACGCGTGTTGCACCAGAGGGAGGCGCAGTGCCACAATACATCAATCAAGATTGGCACACGCAGTCCGTCAGACCCCGGCGCATTTGTTTTCCATCTGGATTGATGGGGGGGAGGGGCGGCGCGGCGGCCTCGGCCCCCCGCAAGCCGGGCGCCTCCTCACAAACTTACGCAGGCGTTACAGCCTGCGTCGTCTCTGTCCCTCCCTTTCTCATCTGGCCATGCCGATGCCCCCTTGCGTATCGACGTACTCAGGTTTTGCACGATTTTGACTCCACCGCTTTCTTTTGCCCAACACAAGGCAGGCAGACACTTGTACAACAGCCACCCCAGCATGGCATTGCTGCTTCTGTACGCCTGTGTGCCGCTGTCGTGAGCAATAATGTTCCTAGGTGTGCCTCTACTGTGCTCGACTTGTTGCCGTGTTACCGTATCCACTGTGTTGTCGGGTCCAGCAGGCTGTTTTTGGCACAGGGGTGTACCGTCGCCACCCACCACTCGGCCGAGGACCCTGCAAATGGCGCGGCTGCAAGCGATGAGGCTGCTGTAGGCAGGTTGTGGGAGGCTGCTGCAAGCCCCTTGCGCATGACAGACTGCTGGGTAGCTCACTGTGACAGCTGCTCGCTGAAAGCTGTCGAACAAGAGTCAGCCTGTGCTCACAGATACGCAGCTGTGCCATCCTGTGCGCATGGCAACACAATCTGATTGTGACTCACACACTTGTCTTATCGTTACCGGCCTGCGGTGTACGCAGAGCAAAAGCTTGACGTGGAGATGGCGACTTGATGGTCATAAAACACTCAGCAACAACATGCTACCCAACCCACCCACCCCCACATCTATGTCACAGCCCCAATGAAGGGAAGTAAGATGCCAGTGAGCGCTGCGTCAGAGACAGCACGGCGCATGCCAAGGTGCCCCAGGCCATGTCCACGAGGGCCACGTTCCACCCCCAGGCAGTCAGCAGCGCGCAATTGGTGAGGTCCACCGTTCCATACAGCAGCAGCCCAAACAGGGCCCCCTGCACGGTTCGGAGGTGGGCAAGTGCAGGTGGGTTGCGCTGTGAGGTGTGTGGTGCACGGCAGGCTTAGGCTGCACGGCATCACAACGAGATTGTGCCGGCTGCAGCATCAAAGCATGATCTGAGGCGGGCCCAGGACATCAGAAAAGCCGCTGACATGTTTCCACAGGGCCTCAAACGCCCCGTGTAGCCCCTGCGTTCTTGCCAATGAAACCCCGGCGCGCCGCTGGCCGCACCTGTCCGACAACGTGCCAGGCAGTGCGGCCGCCGCCTGTGCGCGGGAGCACGAACACGTACGCCCCCATCACGATGGCGATCCACGATAGCACTGCCGCCACGGGGTCTGGGTCCTCTTTAAGGATGGGCTTGAGGCCGGCATACACGTCCTTGGCCACATACGTGATCCAGATCACATCCAGGATGACAAAGGCCACGAAGGACGGCAGGAACACCAGCCCCAAGGCTGCGGAGTGGGGTTGTATGGTTTGCCATCAGGGAGGGGTGCAAACCAGCCATGTGGGCATGACTGCCACAATGCTCTAGGCCAGAGGGGCGACCTGGGCGCGCAGTGCCTGCGCTGCTCAAGCAACACTGCCCAGTTGCATGTATGTACAGCGACAATGGCCCCCCACGGCCAACAACCTGGGAACATGATCATAACCATTTACTGGATGCATGCTCACTGACGTGTGGTGCGCTGACACACCCTTGTCACACCCCCTTGCCGCTGCTACCGCATCAAGTCGCTTTTCCCCCGGGACATTGCTGCTATGGTTGCGGTGCCGTAGTATTATGGTATTCAGCTCACCCTTCAACGAGGCAAGCGCTCTTCCGGGCAAGCCAGGCTGCGAGGGGCCTCCAGCGCGACTCAGAGGTGAGTACATCGCTCGCCCCTTGCTCATGCACGCGTCGATTATGTCATGCAACTTCGTCGATTGCACTCGTGTTTGGTAGTTGTACCGTCTCAATGGCTATGGATCAAATTGTAATTACAGTATGAGACACTCGTACCAGACTGCGCCCGGTGTCTCATTATCCCTGTACCGTGGCTTATTACAATCAGCAGGATGAGGGAGCGCGGCGCTGCACTTGGTGGTGCACGCCCGTGCGGCTGAGTGAGGGGCGAGCAGCTGCTGCTCGCTCACACCATCGCATGCCCACCACCTGGCCCGCCGCCTTGCTACCATGTCGACAGAGTACGCGCAGGGCAGGCTGTGCAGCATGCACGACTCGGCCTTCACGTCGTGCAAGGCCAAGTGACTGTGCATCGTGCGCGAGCACCCCCAGTTGATGACGTGCCTGGCGCGGCACCCGCGCGGCAGCAGCGCAGAGGCAGTCCCTGGCGTGTGAGCGCTGCAGTTTTGCTACCAGAACATTCCCCTGACCATGCACAGGCCCAGCTCGTTGTTTGACAACGCTGTCGCTGGGTGCGTGCTTGCTTGGTGGTTGTGGCAACAAATGCTGCACACGCAACCACGCGCGCCTGACCGCCAGTGGTGTGGGCCCCGCCTGCACTGTTTCTCACGGCTTGGTGCAATGTTGGAGTTGATGTGGATGCCGCTCGCTTGCTGACTTGCAATGATGGCGCCGCCACCACCTGCTGCTGAGTTTCCTCCATGCAAAATGGTGGACATGTGCAGGGAGCTGTGCGGGCACGTCCAGATCAAGGACTGGCAGCCACGTGGCCGTGGACGTCGTCGAGGGCCCCGTCGGGCGACAGCAGACGCTGCTGCTGGCCCGCATGGCAGAGGCCACGTCGGTGCCGTACAAGCTGCATTACAGGAACGGCAGCAGCACAAGGCCTGCCGAGGACGGGGCCAGTTCGGGTCCGACGGCGAGCCATGAGTGGGCTGCATGTGCTGGTGAATCGCCAGCCCCGTCATTCTGTTGATTTGGGCGCTTTCGCTTAAGCAGCGCCCAGCCGGCGCTGGGTTTTGTCAATTCATGTCAGCTGATCGCACCTTGTCCTGGCGGACGGGCCTGCTGTTGGCTGCACGAGTTGCGCTCCTTACGTGGCACGCTGCACTGCACTGCACGGCCAGCATGGTTGACGTGGCGCATTCCCGCCAGGCAGTAGGTCGCACAAATGCAGTCTTTGTGAAAGTTATCCTTGTCGCGCGTGATGGCGGGGGCCAAAGGCAAGGGGCAGAGGGGAGGGGAGGGGAGGCGAGGGGGACCCAGGTTCCATCAGAGCCAGGCACCGCGCCACAGTATTTCCCAATTACTAGTAATTGGGAAATGATGCCCGCCAGACACTGGCACAATTGTATTTTCATCTGGTGGTCGTGCCGATTACCCCTGTGCATGTCAAGATTCATGGGTTGTGCAAGTTCGAATCCCCCATCATCCCCTTTGCCCCATGGCAGACTCTTGTACAACAGCCACGCTGGCAGTGCCTTGCTCGTTGTGTGTGCCTCTGCTATGATTCACTTGTTGCGCTGTGAGCCACTGCGTTTTGGGGTCCAACAGGCCCACTTTTGCAATACAAGAAGTGTAACACCACCACCACACAGCCCCAACACGCAAAGGGTCGGCGGCAGCGCGGTCTTGTTCGCCGGGCCGCCAGCCAGGTCCTGGGTGTTACCCATCATCTATCATCTTGCCTTCCTGCCAGATGTGGGACGATTTGCCACAATGCTCCCGCTCCCTCTCCTGCCATCAATCAATAATTGACGGGTGCAGTCCACCGGCGCGGGCTCTTGCTGCGCCCCTTGACCAGCTAAGCGCCCCGCCTGTCTCACGTCTCGGCCTCGAGGGAGGGAGCTCCCTCCCCCAGATGGTGTTTGAGGGCTGCACCCCCAACCTGGTGAAGTTCAACACGCTGATAGACCTGTACGTGAAGACGGGGCAGTGGCAGGAGGCCATGGGGGTGCTGGACACACTGCAGGAGCACGTGAGGGGGCTGGGTGGTGGGTGGGCGGGGGGCAGGAGAAGAGAGGGCAGCTGTTCAGGAGGGTGCGAGGGCGTGAAGGAGGGCGAATGAGGGAGAGGGGTCAGCAGGAACAATTTGTGAGGACGCGCGGAGAGGGCTGTTGCGCAGCGTACGCAGGACCGATTGCCGCGCGTACGACTGTGGCGTGGGCGCTGTGTCCGGCCCGTCGCCCCTTTCGACCTTCGCGCCCCCCCCCCCC